AGAACGGCTTACAAACTCCTTTCCCTTCCCCTCCCCACAACAGACACCCTCTGAGGTAGGTGGGGCTGAGAGAGCTCTGACACAAACGGCTCTTTTTCAAGAACACCTCTGCCAGAACTATGGCTTGCCCAAGGTCATCCAGCAGCTGCAAGTGGAGGAGTGGGGAATCAAACCCAGTTCTCCCAGATTAGAGTCTGCGCACTTAACCACGACACCAGGCTGACCTGATGCGTTCTGAAATGTTACAGTTCCAAAGGGCTAGGCTACACAGGTTTTTCCAGAGGCAGAAGTGGGCTTTCAGCTTGATGCTCGAGTGCCATTTTTCTTTCCTGCTTTTTCTTTTTTTAATGTTTTAAATTATCACTGACTTCGGTTCACCTTCATTTTAGTTGCTGCAGCTGATATTTCTTTTATTTGACCCTGTTTTAACACAACTTGATGCCATTTTTGACACACCATTTATATGCTGTTTTGATGCCATTTATATACTATGTCAGTGCCATTTATATGCACTTGAGCCCCAGATGACATGGAAAATGTCTTCATTTTCCTGGTAACGGCCATTGGCCATTTGCAATAAATCAAACTGACTGACTGACTGACAAAGAAAAGAGGAAAAGGGGGGGGGAGTCTTCTGTGTGTTCGGGTTCCTTTCTGACAAGGAGAAACAAAACTGAAATTCAGATACGCATATTGAATCATCTTTCCCCCCCAAATTCCCTGTGCCTTGAAGAAGGAAAGGTGGATGATGTTTCTTACAGACCATGGGGCGGTTGAGCAGGGATGTGACGAGAACTAGGATGAAGTTTCAGAGGCACATGGACAGGTGTGCATCTGCCCTCCTTCAGAGATGTTCCCATCTCATGAGAGCTGCCCTGTGCTCTGTGGGTGCCATCACAGCACTTAGCTACGTCTCCCTGGTTTTATATTTTCATTAGCTTCAGCGAGATAGGGAGTAGAACACGTGAACAAAATCAAAACATCTTGGACACGGCCATGCTCTCCTGGTAGTAAAATATATCCAGTTTTAGATGTAGTTCCCGAAAAGGTTATCCTTTCCCCGGCTTCTTTTGATAATGAAAACCCAGTGATCCTTTTTGACCCTAAAGGTCCTTCCTATAATGAATATCTGATGTCTGAAATGATCCAGTTGTATTCTGCTCCCTTGCCCGTGTGTTGCAGTGGCTAATTGTGCACTTAGACGATCTGAGTCAGAGAATCCCTCGTTAGGTCATGAAGCTCACCCAGTGACCTTGGGGTGCCCTCTCTCTCTCTCTCTCTCTCTCTCTCTCTCTCTCTCCACCCAGCCTATCTCCCAGGATTGTTGCGAGGGGTAAATTAAATCAACTCATCTATGAAAGTCGCAGTGATCTCTTTGGAGGAAGACTGGGATATAAATGGGAGGAATTAATGAGGAAAGGCTCTGAAGTAGGATTGACACGTTGACCCATTTAAGAAGAGGGGAACACGACAATGCTTAGGGGAGGGGAAATTCTCTCCCCCCCCACCCCCATTGGCCCCTTCTTCCTCCCCTCTTACTCTAAGCAAAGTTGTTTTTGGTTGCCTAGGCAACCCCAAATGGCAACTGAGATCCATCTTTAAACTTTTTTGATTTTATATAATCCCATTTCTCCTTTTTCCTTTTCCTTGTTTTTTTTTAAAAATCTGAAACCTATAAGATAAACCTTGAGTTCCACCCTTGCAGATATTTTGATCCACGTAGGGGCCCCCACTGTCGTGATAGAAAGCAGTGCCCCCCCCCCTATGATAGAAAGCAGAGATATTTGCAGGTCAGGAGAATCAACATAAAGGCAAAACTCTTTCACTGGAAATCCCTTTACTCCTGCAGCCTTGTCTTTTCAGGAACCACAGTCAAGGGACTCAAAATTCATTATGGAAATGGCTGGAATTTTGCTTCTCAGATTCCTATTGGAGGTTGGCTTATCACGTGTCAATTAAGTGGAACCATAATATAGGGTAATGCAGTTTTACTGACATCAGCAGGTGTTTTTGTCTTCTGACCTCTATGGTAGATGGGGTTTTGCTGTAATTTTTTGTAATGGTGCAGAACTTACTAAGGTCACGTGTGCACAATATCAGCAGGGACTGAAAGTAGTTTTCTGGAACTCATATGACATTTTGCAGGTAAACTAAGTTCAGTAGTGAACACCAGTGAAAGGTTTTGTCAAGATACTCCTTTGCCTATCCCTTGTAGCCAGCACTAGAGGGAGGTTCTACCATTAGTAGATCTTCTGAATGGTTTCTGTTGACGAACAGATCAACCTCTGTGCAAAAGAAGTAAATGTCGTTTTTTTCAAATGTTAGCTTTGTATACATCTAGAAATCAGAGGGAGACTATGTCAGTCTCTCTGCATGCTCCATTGCTGACCTAAAAGTCATTATTCTTCAACAAAAGAGAGATTCCAGCATGAAATTAACTGCTGAATTAGAATTTGTCACGAAGTTTAATTCTATCACATTAGGGGCCTCAGTAAAGGAAATGAATTCTTATTACCCTTCAGGTATTAAATTAGCTTTGGATCTCTAGTAAGGTTGTGTTATCAGCTTTGGGCGCTGCTTTGAATGCTCTCTATGCTTATCTTGTATGCCCTGAAAAGTTGCAGGCTTCATTCAGCCCCCCCCCCCCATTCCTCTGTCTGTGTAATCTACCATTGGCGGAAACACTTCATGCTTCTAAGGAAAGTGAATTCTTATCCACGACAGCTTCTGCCACAAAACTGCAAGTTGCTAAGGTGCTGTAAGATGCCTTTCTGCCTTTTGTCTCATCAAAGTGGATTTAAAGGCAGCTCATACCGATGGGTATTAAAAAGACAGAGGTTCCAAGGGCATAATTTTGTTTCTTTTTAAAAAATGTGCATTAGAGATCCCATTGATCTAACAGTAAACCTTTTAATACAAATTATTTCAGCATCTGTTTAACAATCTTACTCAGATGTAAGTCCTGAGCTGAGGGGGACTTATGTTGATGTAAGTGTGCATAGGATTGCAGGTGTAGGGGGCACGCCTAATGTGGGTCTACTTGGAAGTAAGACCCATGTTATTCCCAGGACAATGTCCTCAGACTTGCAGCCTTATGCAGAGATCAGTTTTTCTACAGGGATGTGTTGGGGATCCAGTCCTGCTTGGAAGTCGTCTGTCTGTCTATCTAGTTTTATTCCCACCCTTTCCCCAAGGAACTGGGAGCAGCATGCATGGTTTTCCCCTTCTCCATTTTATTCTCACAACAACCCTGTGAGGCAGGTTAGGCAGCATGAAAGTGACTCCTAGCCTAGACACTCTTCTTCCTAATTCCAGACATATAGAGGGGTTTTTTTTTGGGGGGGGGTAAGGGGGTGAACTGGGACCAGTTATTCAGTGGATTGTATAAAAAAGCAGTTCTGTTGGGGGGGGGGAGAAGGTACTTGTCACCTGTAAAGGCACCCTGTTCTTTTATTTGAGACTTGAGCGACCAGCTTTTTAAGACCTGGATGCAATTCCCTGGAGAGAGTCTGACCTCCAAAACGTGTGCTTTGGCGCCATACCTAAAGGCCCTGCAGCTGAGGGAAGGGTGACCCAGCAGTCATACCCAACACTTGTTTTGGAGGTTTGCATATCTCTGTTTTCATCTGCGGTATTAACCGAGCGGCTCCTTCCTTCCCACCCCAGCCCTGTCTGCCAAGAGTCATCTACCGGTTAGTTGCCTCTCCAGCCAATGAGCAGGCTACCTCCGAGCTGCGAGCCGTGCGGCAGAGTGTTCTTTCGAGCACAGTGCTGTGTCAGCACCGCGGACAGCTCCTTTGCTGAAAAGCATCCCAGGCAGCCAAGTCTCCACAAGTGGGCAAAGGCTGAAGTTGGGGGGAAGCTTTTCTGAGCAGCGGTTCGCTTGACAGTCGCCTCTAGCTCGGGGAGACCGCTGGCTTCCCCTCTTTCGCATCATGCCACCGTTTGGGAGACCAAAGAATGATTTAGCCAGGAAACTTAATCCGACTTTCTGAAGTTGGTGACCTCACCCAGCCAGTTTTCCTGGAGCTACCTCTCTGTAATTCTCTCTCTCTCTCTCTCTCTCTCTCTCTCTCACACACACACACACACACACAAATCGTGTCTTGTCTGCATGTGCGCGTCAAGGTGTGGAAGTCAGAGGATCTGGCTTCCAGAGAAGGTCCAGCCCACTGCTGGAATTACGAAGGGGAAAGTACAGAGAAAGTCACAAGCCAGATCCCCTCCGCCCCGCTGGAATCGAAATGCTTAAAGAAGGATAACTGATCAAGCAGGAGAGGGAGGGCAGCTCCGTGGCACGCTTTGCTTTCTAGAGGGGTCCCCCCCCCCCCCCCCCCCCCCGCGGCTAAAAAGTCCAATGTTCCCGCTAATCTGCGGAGTCTTGTGATCAAAAATTCTACTTTGTGAGCCGCTGGCATTAAAGTTGTGAGCGAGGCATTTGGATACTGCATGAATCAGTTTGCTCTGGAGCCATCCTTCCTGAGCGAAGACAAAAACGTGTGAGCTGGAGGCCAAAAAACTATGAGCTAGCTCACACTCACTCAGCTTAGAGGGAACACTGCTCCAGTCCGGCCTCAGGTGGCCTCTTCTCACCAGAGCTGCGGGAGGTCCCAGCAGACCCTGCCTGAGCGCTGTGGACCACCTGAGGAGGGTCGCGCAGGGGCCAGCCCGGCTTTCCCCGCTCAGAGCTGCCGGGCAGGGGCGGAGTGGCCGCTCGAGGGACCTCCTTTGCGGCTCAGTCCCTGCCTGGCAGGGCCAGGTCCGAGGGCTCCATCAGCAGCAGGTGCTGGTCGGGGAGACCCTGGGGAGAGCCGGCCGGCGGGCAGAGGATCTGGCAGAAAGCCCCCCCCCCGCCCACGCCCGCCCTCCCGGCGTGGCCTCCGCACACACCCCCTTCCTCCGAGTCCGCTCCCCGGAGCCGGGCGCCAGCCGGGGCGAAAGGGAGGCGGAAGGGAGCCGGGTCTCCCCCCCCTTCCCGCGGAGCCCTCCGCCCGCCTTACCGGGGAGCCCGAGGCAGAGGAGGAGGCTGTAGTAGACGACGGGGACGTAGCCCAAGCCGCAGCCGGGCGGGGAGCTGTTGCGGAGGTGGACGTGGTCGTGCTCCATGGACGCCGCCGCCGGGGGGGCCCCGCGCCGCCGCCGCCTCCGCCTCGCAGGGTCCGCGTCCGCCTGGGGGTCGCCGCCGCGCAGCATCAGCCGCCGCCGGAGCTTCGGGGCGCCGGTCGCACGCGGGCAACTCGCCGGTCCTGCCCAGCCCAGTCGCTGCCTGGCTGCCTGGCGGCGGTACCTGGCCGTAGACCGCCAACGAGGAGGAGGAGGAGGAGGCGGCGAGCGGGGGCGGAGGAAGAGGAGGAGGAGGAGGGAGCGACCGGCGCGCAAAGGGTTAAGGCGCTGCTGCTCCTCTTCTTCTTCGTCTCCTCCTGCTTCGCCTCGCCGGCTGCCCGCCCAGGCACATTGTCGCCCGGCTGGGCTGCGCGGTCCTAAAAGGCGCTGCATTGGCCTGGCCGGACTCCGGGGATGGAGCGCAAGCCGCGGGGGCGCTCCTTCTCCCCCCCCCTCCTCGGCCCCTTGTGAAACTCTCCCTTCACTCCGGGAGCCTGGGCGCCCTGCAGCCTCTTGCAGGGGGGAAGGAGGAGGTGCCTCTGAGCATACGCAGAGAGCCTTTTCTTTACCTTCTCAATGCACCTGTGTCGGGGGCCTGAAATTTTCAAGGGGGCAACTGAATGAGGCCTGCATCCTGGTAGCTCTTCCTTTCTTCTACTTATGTAATTTCACAGTTGGAAGGGACCTGCAGGGTCAACTGGTCCAGCCTCCTGCCAGTGCAGCAGCTACAGCTATAATATCCCCAGTCAGGACAAATCCACCACTTCATGGGGAAGACTGTTCCAGTGTCAAACACACCTTGCCGTCAGGACGTTCTTCCTCAGATTTAGTTGAAACCTCCTTTAGTTTCAAATTTAGTTGAAACCTCCATTAGTCCAAGTCCTGTCATCCAACATGACCAAAAACCTGTCCACCCCATCCTCTGCATCAAGGACTGCTTGAGAGACATTTCTGATTTTTCAAAAAAGTAATTTTCCTGACTGTTTTATGGCAAAGTACCGTGGCTGATCCCTGACCTGGATGGACCAGGCTAGCCCCATCTCCTCTCGATCTGGGGAGGGGCTGTCTGGCACGCCAAAGGTCCCAGGTTCAGTCCCTGGCTTCTCCAGTTGCAAAATGAGCCAGGTGGTAGGTGATGTGAAGGACCTCCACCGGAGACTCTGGAGAGCCGCTGCCAGTCTGAGTAGACAATACTGACCTTGATGGACCAAGGGTCTGATTCAGTATACTTTGTGTGTCAGCTCTTGGAAGCTAAGTAGGGTCAGTCCTTGAATGGGCAACCACCAAGGAAGTCCAGGATTGCTATGCAGAGGCAGGCAAGGGCAAACCACCTCTGAATGTCTCTTGCCTTGTAAACCTACAGCCCTGAGTGGGAGTGGACAGAGGGACATGGAGATTGTGTCAGGCCTCTTGGTAGATTCAGATCCAACAGTCCAATAGAATCATAGCATTGGAAGGGACCTCCAGGGTCATCTAGTCCAACCTCCTGCACAATGCAGGAAATTCACAAATACCTTTCCCCCCACACCCACAGTGACCCCTGCTCCATGCCCAGAAGATGGACAGGATGTGGACAGAAATGGAGTGTGTGCAGAGAAGAGTGACAAGGATGATCAGGGGCCTGGAGACCAAGCCCTATGAGGAAAGGCTGAGGGACTTGGGAATGTTGAGTCTGGAGAAGAGGAGGTTAATGGGGGACATGATTGCTCTCTTGAAGGATCTGAAGGGCTGTCACTTAGAGGAGGGCAGGGAGCTGTTCCTGTTGGCAGCAGAGGATAGGACTTGCAAATAATGGGTTTAAATCAAGAGCGGGAAGGTACTGGCAGGATCTTAGGAAAAACCTTTTTAAAAAATGCTTTATTTTCACTTACATTACATTACAGAGTAGTTTTACAAATCGTATTCAACAAGATATCATATTTTGGAGTCATACACTTATCTATTTTATACATTATTTCTTATCTAACCAGTTATACAATTTTGTCCATCTATTTTTAAACAACTCTTCATCCTTATTTTGTAAAGCTGTGGTTAACTTATCCATTTCTACCACTTCTAATATTTTGTAGATTAATTCACTTTTGGGGGGTATTCCCTTTTGTTTCCAATATTTGGCAAACAAAATACGTGCTGCTGTGATTATATATATAATAACATGTTTTTCTTCCATTTTATAATTATCCGGTAATATGTTTAACAAAAATAGTTCTGGAGATAGAGGTATTTCTACCTCTAAAATATTTGTTAATAATTTGTGTACCTTATACCAGTATCGTTGTGTCACTGTACACCTCCACCAATTATGGTAAAAGGTGCCATTATTTTTGCATTTCCAACAATTTTTAAATAAAGTAGGATAACATCTTGCCAATTTATCCGGTGACCAATGCCACCTATGAAACATTTTGTACACATTTTCCTTATATGGAATAGATCTTAAATATTTCACAGATTTCCAAATTTTAGACCAGTTATCTATATCTATGGTATGTCCGATATCCTGCATCCACGTGATCATAGAACTTTTTACCACTTCATCCTGTTCATAATCCTCAAGAAATAATTTATACACCTTCTGTATTAACTTATCGCTTGTAGATAGCCATAACTTATTATTGTTGTTATGTATAACTGTTATTATGATTTTATTGTTTTATTGGATTTTATGCATGGGCTGTTGTCCCTTGTAAGCCACCCTGAGCCCGCTTGCGGGGAGGGCGGGGTAAAAATGTCTAAATAAATAAATAAATAACTTGTCTAAATCAGTTTTTTCTTGGTAGAACCCTTTATTTTTGTCTTTTTCAAATCTTGCTTTTAACTGCATGTTTTCCCACCATGTTAATTTAATATTTTGTTTCATAAGATTCTCCTGGGAAATCAAGTTGTCATCTCCATCTAATAAAGTTTCATAACCTATCAGTTTTGATTTTGTCATTAGAGAAGGTTTAATGAAAGCTTCTAATGGTGATGGTGATATCCATCTCGGCATTTTAACCTCTTGCCAAATTTTAAGTGCTTCTCTTATAGTATGTTGTTTAAATTTAGAATCTATTTTATCTTTTTCATAGCCTAAATACGCATGCCATCCCATGTCTAAGTCAAAACCTTCCAGAATTAGAAGTCTTCTGTTTTCTAATGTTGCCCACTCCCTAATCCATGTCATTGCTGCCGCTGAGTAGTATATTTTCCAATTTGGAAGGCCAAAGCCCCCACTCTCCTTTTTATCCTGTAAAACCTTCCACTTAATACGTGCAGTTTTTTTAGACCATACAAATTGTCTATACATTCGATCTAAATCATTAAAGAGTTTAACATTCCTCAACATTGGTATATTTTGGGCAAGAAATATTCATCTTTAGTAAAGCTATTTTCCCCATAAAGGATAGTTTCAGAGTTCCCATCTTAACAAATCTTTTTTTATTTCTTGTAGTAACTTGACATAAGTATCCTCTATTAGCATGTTGTTTCTTTTTGTCATTGTCACTCCAAGATATTTTACTTTTTAAACAATATTCATATGTGATAACTTTTAAATCTGTTCTGTTTGTTTTACTGTACAATTCTTTGTTAATATATTTGTTTTATTATAATTTATTTTTAGGCCTGATACTTTACCATAGTTTTCCATGCTGTTTAATGCCCTCATTAAAGAAGGAATTGATTGAATAGGATTTTCTACTATAAATGCAAGGTCATCTGCAAAAGCTTGTAATTTAAAGATTTCATCTTTAACTTATAAACCTTTTATATACTTATTTTCTCTAACTAGATCTGTTAATGTTTCTAAAGTAAATATAAACAACAATGGTGATAGTGGGCAACCCTGCCTTGTACCTTTTTGTATATGTATATTTTGTGTTGTATCTCCATTCACCACCACCTTTGCTAGCTGTTTCATATATACTGCTTTTATCATTGTATAGAAATTTTCTACACATTCCCATTTGGCAAACTTCTGTAACATAAAGTCCCAATTTACCTAAAGGCTTTTTCCGCATCTAGAAATATTAATGCTACTTGTTTCCCCGGGTGTAACTCATAGTATTCTAACACATTCATAATCACCCTTATATTATTTTTAATCTGCTTTCTTGGAAGAAATCCTGCCTGGTCTTGATGTATTATATCTATTAACACTTTTATTCAGCCTTGTCGCAATTATAAATGCAAATATTTTGTAGTCGGCATTTAGCAGAGATATTGGTCTATCATTTTTAACCTCTTTTTCATCTGAATTTGGTTTGTGAATTAGAGTAATCAAAGCTTCAGTCCAGGAGTTTGGCATTTTCCCACCAAGTGCTGTTTCTTGCAGTACTTCCTTGAATGGGGGTAAAATTTGGTCTTCAAATTTTTGGTAGACCTCTATTGGTATACCATCTGGTCCTGGTGTTTTATTTCTTTTCTGTTTTTTAATCACTTAAGTTATTTCAAAACATGATATTGGACTATTTAGTAAAGTTTTTTGTTTTTCATCAAACATCTTATTATTCCATCTTGATGTGTAGTCTTTTGTTATCTGAGGATTTGATACTTCTTGTTGGTATAGTTTACTATAGAATTTTTCTACAATTTCTTTAATTTTTTGTTTGTCATATTTATCTACTTGTTTATTGTCTTTTAGTACTTTGATTGCGTTTTTCATTTTTTCTTTTCTTAGTTTGTATGATAACCATCTAGATGGTTTATTGGCATGTTCAAAATAAAATTGTTTAGTATATTCAATATTTTGGCTATTTCTTGTGTTAATATAAGGTTCAATTGATGTTGTAATAATATTAGTTTTGACTTGATTTGTTCAGTGTCTCCCCCCTTCTTCAGTTTTACTTCTTCTTTAACCTGTTTTACCAGATTTATATATATAAAGTCTTTTTTCCCCCTCCCATGCATCTTCATTAATAAATATCCCCCGTAGATAGGCTTTAAATGTTTCCCGTATTGTCAAAATTGATGTTTCTGGTTGAATGTTTCTTTAAAAAAATTCTATAAGTTCTACTTTAATTTTT